AGGTCTTGAAAGAGCAAATGTATAGTGTGCTCCCAAAGAGTATGCTATAAACACTAGAGTAAAACAGTACGTCAAACCATTGGGTCGGCCACGTGGCGACATCTCATTCTCAAGTGTCAAATATAGCTGGACAAAGCCTGTGATTCTTAATACTTTGCTGCCGCTACACACACGCATAATTGTATCACGCATCGGGCACGTGAGAAACTCTATTCCCAAATAAAAAATACTTGTCTCAAAAAAAAAACTAACAAATTTTAAATCTTTTTGAATAATAATTTATATTTGTTATACGGAATACAATAATTATTCACGTTCTTTTGGTTGTTTCGAACATGATAAAAAAAGTAGGTAAATGGTAGCTTGGCCGGGTTATTGGATCTCGGCCAAATAGTCGCCGATTTGTTGTACCATATTGTTATGTGGGTGAAAAATCCGGCAATTAAATTGGTATTTCGGATACAAGTGTTTAAAAAAGAAAGAAAAAAAAAAAAAAAAAAATAGGATACCATGTCGGGCACTTCGTAATATGAGTTGGACCGCGAATTCCTCGATTGTGATCGCTCAAAGATAAAAAAAATTAATCAAAAAAGAAAAAATTCACCCCGAGAATCATAGATCGCCCTACAATCCGATAATTGTTTAGGTGATACCCTAATTTAGGACCAATCCGAGCCATAAACCACCCCAGTCTGAGCCAACTTGAACGATTCCGAGATAGCATGTAGATTATTTAGTCCCAACTTGAGACACATTTAAGATTAGTTCGAGTGCCAAAGTCAGATTTACTTTTTAAGTTAATGCGACTTAATTAAAGTTCTTAAATAATGGAATGGAGCTCGTGGTCTTATCCTTTCGGGCTTTGACTCATGACTCGAGTACCAAATGAAATCCAGCCGTTTCAGTTGAAAGAAATAATAAATAAAGTTCGTTATAATATTAGGTTCAAAGATTTGGGGACCATATTATGGCGGAGAACTGTTTCAATCAATGGTTTAAAAAACGGATCGGTGACCCAGATCGAGCTTTCAAAAAACCGATCTGGATCGACGAATCGGCGATCCTGATCGAGAATCGGGTGAATCGGTCAGAATAAAGCTTAAAAAAAATCCGAAAAAATTATTAAAATTTATTATAAATATTGTTTTTTAAGAATTCAATAAGAAATGAAGGTACTCCATTAAGAATTTTCATGTTTTTGAATGAATATGCGAATATTGATATGTTCTTTCCCTGCATGAACCGCCATTCAACATTTAATTTACATCACACAAAAGGATAAATATAGAATTATCATGGAATAAGTATATCAACATACATGGACTACAATAAAGCATAAAATTAATAACATATGATCTAAAAATAAATGATAGACGACGTTATTGTTCTTCTTGATCACGTTGGTGCCATTGATTGAATTTGTTTAACAATTCATTGATTCGATCTAAAAACGAATCATCGGTTGGTGCCATTGATTGAATTTGTTTAACAATTCATTGATTCGATCTAAAAACGAATCATCGATATTCGCAGGCGTCTTACTATTCCCAAATCCCTGAGTGTTAGTGATTTGTTGTATTCCCAATCTAAAATCCCCGAAGATTATCCATCCTTAATGGTCACCTGCACTGTCGTGCTCATCCCTACACTGTTGCTATTGGGACTCGATATGTGAATAATATGGCTGGGATAAGGTGGCCTCAGAATCATCATCTCTCTCATTTTCTCTTTGAATAATATGGATTAAAAAATAATAATAACAAATTTTTAAAAAAATCAATCATAGATTAAAAAAAAAATCACAAATTTTCAAAAAATTCTATCATGGATTACAAAAAAAAATTCAATCATGGATTAAAAAAAAAATCACAAAGTTTCAAAAAATTCTATCATGGATTACAAAAAAAAATTCTATCATGGATTAAAAAAAAAAAATCACAAATTTTCAAAGAATTCAATCATGGATTACAAAAAATTCGATCATGGATTACATAAAATTCGATCATGGATTACAAAAAAAAACAAACAAAAAAAACAAAAAATTTAATCGTAGAAAGAAAAAAACAATTCGATCATGGATTACAAAAAAAAAAACAAACATTTCGATCATGGATTACAAAAAAGAAACAAACATTTCGATCATGTATTACAAAACATTCG